ATTAAACTCATCATCCAAAATACTATTAAAATCTTGCTTTTTCTTGCAAGTATTTCCATATATACTCATAATTTGGTGTCGTCTTGTTAAGAATGTATCATCTAAGTTTTCAATGCTATGAGCTTTAGCAAACGTTTGAGCCAACATTCTGACCTTATCTTTATTTGTAATGGCTATTGTCCCACCTTCCTCCATTACAGGTATCTTTCTGAATCTGTCAATTCCATTCATCTTCTTTATCATATGCCAGACTGCATTTATTTCGGTTTCCCTCCCTATTGTATTACAGAAGCTTTGCCATGCTGTCTTCTTTGTATATTTAATAACCTTTTTAACATAAGTTCTTTTCTTTTGATAATCTATGACTGCTTCTGGGGTGAGTGTTCGTTTTAAAAATTTAAATGATTTATTCCTTTCTCTAATTGCTGTCGAGCATTCCTCTGACCACCAAGGTACATGCTTTCTTTTACTTGTACCACTTACTAGCGGGATAGATTGTGATACTGCAAAATAAATACCATTCACTACTTTACCATACCTATCATCAACACTACCCTCTACTGACAGATTTTCTAATTGTTCTTCAAATAACATTTGAAACTTTTCCCAATCTGCCTTTTTATATCCATCTTAAACCATTAACGTTTGAGCCAACATTCTGACCTTATCTTTATTTGTAATGGCTATTGTCCCACCTTCCTCCATTACAGGTATCTTTCTGAATCTGTCAATTCCATTCATCTTCTTTATCATATGCCAGACTGCATTTATTTCGGTTTCCCTCCCAATTGTATTACAGAAGCTTTGCCATGCTGTCTTCTTTGTATATTTAATAACCTTTTTAACATAAGCTCTTTTCTTTTGATAATCTATGTTTGTATTTGAATCTTATTTTGAATTTCACAGATCACTGGAAAATGATCACTTCCAATATTATCTTTAGCTACTGACCATGCATTTACCAGCTAATGATGCTGAAACTATTGTGATATCTAAACATGACATTGCACCTCTTATTATGTCTATTCTTGTTGGGTTGCCTTCATTTAGACACACTAAAGAGTTTTCTTCCATGAATTCTTCTATTACGTCACCATTTTTATCTGTGTCGCGCTACAAATGCTCACAACACAACCAAATAAAGAAACGCGCTACAAAAGAAAAGAAAAAACACCTGCAGATTAAGAAAACAACTAAATCAATTTGGCAACACATGCTGTAAATAGAAAAAAACCACCTGCAAATTAAGAAAACAACTAAATCAATTTGGCAACACATGCTGTAAATAGAAAAAAACACCTGCAAATTAAGAAAACAACTAAATCAATTTGACAACACATGCTGTAAATAGAAAAAGTGCAAATTAAGAAAACAACTTCATCAATTTGATAACACACATGCTGCAAATGCTCACAGAACAACCAAATAAAGAAACGCGCTGCAAAAAAAAACACCTGCAAATTAAGAAAACAACTAAATCAATTTGGCAACACATGCTGTAAATAGAAAAAAACCACCTGCAAATTAAGAAAACAACTAAATCAATTTGGCAACACATGCTGTAAATACTCACAACACAACCAAACAAAGAAAGCGCGAATACAATTCTTTCTTTGGTTGCGTTGTGAGCATTTGCAGCACCTGCTGTCAAACTGATGAAGATGTTTTCTTGATTTGCTGGTGCTTTTTCTATTTGCATGTGTTTTCTGAAGTTGCAGCGCGTTGAGCTCTCTCGGCCACCGTATTAATTCAATAGAAAAAAGTGATTTCTTACCATTATTTCAAGGTACATTATCTTTTTGTCTCATTAGATTTCGAACAGTAACTTACAGGAAACGATTGTGTGTATTGCCTCCTCAGAACTCTGCCCTCTTAAATAGAGTAAAATGAATGAGTGAAAATATTTAAGAGCTTCAAAATTTAAAAATAAAAAAATAGAAAGTCTGAAACTTGATGTTTTCATTATAAATGCATCCATTGTTTTATCACTGCAAATTACTCCCTTTTATTGCTGAACATGCAGACAGTTCAATCATTTTAAAGTAGCAAGTTATTACATTGAAGTGCAAATGTCACAGATATTTTATGTCAGGTTAAACCAAATTTGCCCCTGGCTGCAGGAATGTTCCCAGTTATCATCTGAAACTCCACAACAACTTCCTGCACTGATTTCTTCACAGTTCGCAAGATGATAACAAATCATCTTGTAATTTACTGTCTTGTTATTCCTTCCTGCTAAAGCTGTTCAGATTCAACCACTCACACATTGTTGGACCAAAATGATGGTACAGCTTGTGTTGTCCACTTACCCTTGAATTCTCGACATCAGGTGGGCTGTCTGCAGTACATAGTGGACCAAAATAGGTTTGGTCTCGAAAAACACACCTGGGTTGCAGCTGCTGACATTCTTGACCCTTTCCTTCTCTGCCTCGCTTCTAAAGGCCATGTATTCCTTCATGTTGAAAGTGTGCAATTCTTTTTTCTTTTTTATATCAAATAAAGTTGATATAAAATAAAACTAACATTGTATGAAAAAATTAAACTTAAAAAACCTAAACAAATATTAGAAATATTGCCTTGGCAACTAACTGAATTAAACAGGTTTAAGTTGAAGAAAAATGACTAAAACATAGATGTGTACACCTGCAAATTAAGAAAACAACTAAATCAATTTGGCAACACATGCTGTAAATAGAAAAAAACCACCTGCAAATTAAGAAAACAACTAAATCAATTTGGCAACACATGCTGTAAATACTCACAACACAACCAAACAAAGAAAGCGCGAATACAATTCTTTCTTTGGTTGCGTTGTGAGCATTTGCAGCACCTGCTGTCAAACTGATGAAGATGTTTTCTTGATTTGCTGGTGCTTTTTCTATTTGCATGTGTTTTCTGAAGTTGCAGCGCGTTGAGCTCTCTCGGCCACCGTATTAATTCAATAGAAAAAAGTGATTTCTTACCATTATTTCAAGGTACATTATCTTTTTGTCTCATTAGATTTCGAACAGTAACTTACAGGAAACGATTGTGTGTATTGCCTCCTCAGAACTCTGCCCTCTTAAATAGAGTAAAATGAATGAGTGAAAATATTTAAGAGCTTCAAAATTTCAAAATAAAAAAATAGAAAGTCTGAAACTTGATGTTCTTCTACGTCAAAATAGATAGTTATTTGTTATTTATTTATTTTTTTGTTTGTTTGTTTAAAATGACTAACATTTAAAGGAAAATTTAAATGAAAACAAAATATTAGTTAATTTTTTTTGTATTTGACAAAAGTAGCATACTAGTGTTTGAAATTTTGTTTTTCATTTATAGCAGCCAGTATACAATGTATACTGTGCAGTATTCATGAAACTAGTTTTCATTATAAATGCATCCATTGTTTTATCACTGCAAATTACTCCCTTTTATTGCTGAACATGCAGACAGTTCAATCATTTTAAAGTAGCAAGTTATTACATTGAAGTGCAAATGTCACAGATATTTTATGTCAGGTTAAACCAAATTTGCCCCTGGCTGCAGGAATGTTCCCAGTTATCATCTGAAACTCCACAACAACTTCCTGCACTGATTTCTTCACAGTTCGCAAGATGATAACAAATCATCTTGTAATTTACTGTCTTGTTATTCCTTCCTGCTAAAGCTGTTCAGATTCAACCACTCACACATTGTTGGACCAAAATGATGGTACAGCTTGTGTTGTCCACTTACCCTTGAATTCTCGACATCAGGTGGGCTGTCTGCAGTACATAGTGGACCAAAATAGGTTTGGTCTCGAAAAACACACCTGGGTTGCAGCTGCTGACATTCTTGACCCTTTCCTTCTCTGCCTCGCTTCTAAAGGCCATGTATTCCTTCATGTTGAAAGTGTGCAATTCTTTTTTCTTTTTTATATCAAATAAAGTTGATATAAAATAAAACTAACATTGTATGAAAAAATTAAACTTAAAAAACCTAAACAAATATTAGAAATATTGCCTTGGCAACTAACTGAATTAAACAGGTTTAAGTTGAAGAAAAATGACTAAAACATAGATGTGTACATACATAAACCTGCCTTGCCTCATTACTCTGTTTAATATCATTGCCTGTTTTTGATTTCAGTTTTAAATTTACGATGTGGTTCATGGAAAAAACAGGACTATTTTGTTACAATCCAACTAACTGTGGAAGGACGTCATGATTTCCTGATATGCCGCCTCTTGATTTGATTTTCAGTGGTGAAGCATCTGTGTAATATTATGCCCTAATAACAATTTTGGTTCCTGTTCTGTGTTACTGACCGGTGCACTAACATTACAATAGCAGCAGTGAGTGTTACGCTGAATAAAATTTGAAGTAACACCAAATCTATTATTATTATAAAAACATAACATTATACAAGTAATTTAGTACAGGGCTAAGCTTTTTTTCTTTAAGGTTATGTTCAACTAGACTTCAGAATGGCTACTTTTATTGCTCACCTAAACAGACACTGACATTAAATTACAATTAGCCATATAACTGAATTAGGCATAACAGTTACCCATTATAAACACACAACACAGTCTATTGTCACATTTCCAGAAATCTGAAGCACTGACAGAAGTATTTTTATTTTTGTTAAACAGTGACCATTGCATAACTATTAAAAAAACTAAACAAAAGGAAGGAAAAGTGTAATGCTATTTGTCTCCACGTGGTGGAGGGACTGGATTACGTTTAGCATCAGTATGATGGCTTGGTGGACAGGATGCTACTAGACTGATCTTGATTTGGTTTGAGGGGATGGACAAAATGTAAAATATGAATAATTTAATCATTTTTAATTGTTAAAATATTTGGTAAAGAAATATTCTTACACCTTTTAAATTAGCATGGATTATAAATAAAAACAAAGTAAAAGCTTTTAACGTATTAAAAAAAAAAATAATATATATATATATATATATATATAAAATTCAGTACACAGATTTTCTTTCACACAGTCTTTTATTTGTAAATAATAAAAATGAACTCTTGAATATAAAACATACACATTATTTGAGCCACGTCTGCTGTACAAACAAGAAATGTTGCAGTGAATACTTTCAATTTTGTTTCAGTGGAACACACGAACTGTAAACAATCAGTATCCTTGAATAATACTGACAAAGTAAATAACTCTGCCCTAACCAGGCATATAAAGTAAACTTCTCATTGAAACAAGGATTCATGAGCATTTATGATAACGCAACAGGTCGGCAGAGGTCCAAATTTCTCTCATCAGATTGGGCATCACTAAAATAAAACTTTGGAGGCATCCCTTCTTCCGCTCAGCAGAACCAAGAGACAGAGCACTGATCCATTAACTTGAATGGGGCTGCTTTTTAAATATAAGTAAACTTCTTTGCAGACTCATATTTACATATATGCATGTACGTAAGTGATGTTTACTTGATACACTCTGTTTCAATATCAATATATCTCTAAGTCATTGTGATCTTCGTAATTATATTCCATATACAGATAGCTCTTTAATAAAAATAGGGCCTTGTGTTTGCTCAGTACTACAGTGCAGCACTTAATTTTCCATCCAGGGTTTAAAAAAAACTAAACAAAACAAAAAAGAAAATCAAACAACTTAAAAATTATTATAGACATTCAGCCCCAAAATAAGGCCTGTGTGCATGGCTGAACCCGGCCAAATGCCCACACATGGAATGAATGGCTTAGTTTTATTTGATAATCTATTTATATCAAGTACAAGCAAACTGTACAAGTACATGCAACATACAAGCTGGCCTACAGTTTGTGGAACTAACACACACTTATTGTAGTCTCTTTTTTTCTCATCTGTCTTGTTTTACAAAATGTGCATGCAACTTGGAACAGTTCCAGATTCATGCTGTTCCCCTCGTTGGTGGCATCTGTTCCCCTTGTTGGAACGTCTCACTGTCACATTCAAAATGCTCAGGGGGGATCTGTGAGATTGGTTTTATAATCAACTAAACTGAAAACTGATGACAAACAGCTAAAAGTAGGAAGCTTCTGATTTTGGCCTCTTCTATTGTATTAGTTTTAATCTCCAAAAGCTTGAACTTTTTCTCTTTTTGTGCTTGCATTAAAATAATGTAAACTCTAGTCGGGTAGAAATTTGAATATCAGAATGTACAGGTCCTTTACCAAACAGAATATAATTAAAAATGCTTGGAAAGGCCTGTAAGATATGGTTTGTGATCGCGTGAAATCTGGGAATCAAATGTGTTATGCTAATGCATAGTGACCGTTTCTGCAGTTTCCTGTCAGGGAACCTAAATGATTATGGCAGCTTCTTACAGTCCCGGTGAATCAAATACAAGTGGTTTTGTGTCTTCCATGAAGCTCGTATGACACAGACGTCAGAAAACATGAAACATGTTTTCACATTCTACAAAGTGTGCCTATTTACCAAATCAACAGTAACGTGAAAAGGCAAAGCAGTCGGTAGCGACTGCTGTAAACAGACTTAAAAGGTTCTCAGGCGTCCCTGCCTTCTTAGACGCACACTCTCTCACACACACACACACACACACACACACACATCGCAGTCACATAAATCTGAGTCTGAGTTTGTGCCAGACCGGCACATGGCGGGGCCTTGGATGCAGCATCCGTGATGCAGAGAGGAAACTCTCTGAGAAGACTAAATTTTGACCTTTAACCCTCAACCTCTGGTCTTTCAGCAGAGGGACTTCCTGTAAGTGCAATATAGAGGAAGGGCAGTGCTGTCCTCTCACTTTCGCTAACTCTCAAACACATGTGAGACAATAAATGTGCTGACTGACCAGAGCAGTCTAGGCTACCGGCGCCACTGTGGGCTCCGCTTCCTGTCAGATGAAGCAGGATCGCGTTTCGGCTGCCTCTCCCTTCCTTCTCTTTTTATTTGGGTCGAATCGTCATCTCAGCAACAAAACATGCAGTAAAGGAGCAGAGTGGATCAAAGGAAATCTCTACAACCCAAAGATCAAAAGTAAAAGATAGAAGTGATTGTCAGGCTTCAGCAAAGCTTTGATCATGATTCTGTCCATCTGTCTCTTTATCTGCCGCTCTGGTTCTGATTGTTGCCTCCGGTCCTTGGTCCACTGGGTCGTGTGTTTTGTTTCGCCTCGCACTCCCGTCTGTTCACTAGGACCTGATGCCCGGTGGCCCTGAAGAGTCCAGCGAGGTCTGGGAAGCGCGACGAGTGAGAGGAGCTAACGTCGGGTCGACCAGTGATGAAGGGGGAAACAGTCTGTACCAACTGATCACTGTGCTAGAAAGATCTAGCTCCTCTAAAAGAATCTGGGCGACTCCCATGAAACATTTGTGGTCCATGCGGCCGTAATCTCCCCAGACTATTACCTGAAGACACAATCAGTGGTCAGTGCGCACAAATGTTGGACTTTGGAGGCATATCGGGAACAAACAAATGAAATTCGCTTCCTACCTGGAGAACTTTACCCTGCGGACTTTCCTCAAACAGCAGCGATTGCTGATACAAAGGATCGAGCGTTTTTCGTGCAATCTTGGTTTTCTTTTTGGCTTTGCACGCTCCGTTTTCCAGCAAATAGACCTTGACATAGGGAGCTGTGAAGAGCAGACGTAGTGCTCAACTAGGGCCGTTCAGGCAGTTATAGTGCCTGGCGGTGGCACATGTCATATTTACAATTAGTACAATGTATAAATCATCAAATTTCCTAGCTGTAATCACTCCAATAAGAACATTTAAACACATGTTTCTGTTAGTCCAAGCACTATAAAAACTACAAATACACTACCGTTCAAAAGTCGGTAAGATTTTTTTATAGTGTTTGAAGTCTTGTATGCTCACTAATGCTGCATTTATTTGATAAAAAATACATTAAAAACATTAATATTGTCAAATATTTTTTACAATTTAAATTTTTTCTAAGTATTCCATTTTAATATATTCCAGTTTTCAGTGTAACATGATTCTTCAGATACCATTCTAATTGCTGATTCGCTGCTCAAGAAAGATTTCTTATTATTATCAATGTTGAAAACAGTTGTGCTGCTTAACATTTTTTGTGGAAAATCTTTAACATTTTTCATGTGACATTTTCAGGATTCTTTGATAAATGCAAAGCTCAAAAGAACAGCATTTATTTGAAATAGAATCTTGTGTAACATGTCTTTACTGTCACTTTTGATACATTTAATGCATCCTTGCTGAATGAAAGTATTAATTTCTATTAAAAAAAACTTACTGACCATTTTTATTGGTTCCTAATGCTTACATAGGAAAAAAAATCAATATACTTAAAACTGATTAATTTACTCATAACAATAACAATGTTTACACAATAAGTGGAAGACACAATGACTCCGTGATCTATATTCAGTATTATTCACTACTAATGAGAATTTTTTTATGTAGTGTTGACACACTCTCACCCGGCAGCGATTTGGAACCTGGTTTAGGCGTAAGACCACGGGCCCTGATAACCTCCACCTCTAGTTGCCCTTTCTTGTCCATCAGTCCAATCTGAACATCTCCTACAAAACAAAACAAAAATCAAATTCATTGCAGCAAATTCAACTTAGATAGACTTTAGTCCATACATATATGAAGATGTTTACTCACCCATAGCAGGCGTAGCAAGTGTTTGTCTACCCACCAACTGAGCAGGGCCAAGACCATCTAGGAAGTCACTGAACTGGCTGTCGGCCCCTAATCTCATCCCTGAGAAGATCAGACTGAGACACACACATACACAGGTTATCAGATAGACGAATGAATGAATGGACGGATAGATAGATATACTGTAAGCCAGCATTTCAAATACAATTTACAGTAAATTTCTTGTTATCTTCAGCTGTTCTTAATACTTTGCTGTCATAAATCAATAGAAATTCAAAAATTAATTTCTTGAATCCTTTGTAGATACAAACATATGAAAACAAACAAAAACCTATAAAACAATTAGTTTATTTGGATGAAATCAACTGTTCCAGAATGAGCTTACTGCCCTCATACAGAGTTCAAAAGCTAGTGAAACGCAGCCCATCTCCTCCAGCAGCAGACTTGTGCTGTGTATGGTATGGTATGTAAACCCTGTCTTGCGTTAAGGCCCCTCTTAATACACTCAATATTTCCTTTGAGACCAGCGCAATTTCCATGACCTAACTACTGCAGGAATGTCTAAGGAACGTGCCAGCCCGTGTCGAGCTACCATATGAACAGCCTTATGTGATTTCAGACTATTTAAAACATGTTCATGTAAAATAAGCCTTAAATCATGGAGTCACAGAGTCATACTCTGTGGAGTGACACGGTGGCCAGGTCAACCGACCAACCGCCGCTCTGAAGCCGCAAAGGGAAGCATGACTGCCGTTTCTGCGCAGCTACAGACCCTGCCAAGACCCCTCTTTGCAGATGATGGATATTTTAATTATTATAGGGGAGTACCGCTTGCCATCTGGCTCCAAAGATGGAGCTGAGAAAGTAGTGGACACAGCATTAGCTCTGTAAATCAGACTGTTCTCTATTAGCTTATCCTTATGTTTTTTCCAAATAAATCTAGATGAGAGAAGCTCATATGAACATGACACACAGCCTGTTGAGAGACCACTTATCTATGAGTGATGGGTTTGCAGCCAATGCATAAAAACACCAGAGACAAGGCAAGTGTGAGTTGGGAAGCAGGTCAGCTTTGGGTAAAATAGCATAAACTACGACTGGGTTACATTATACATCGTCATGCATACAGTACACTACCATTCAAAAGTTTTTTAATGAAGTATTTTATGCTCAAGGCTGTGTTTATTTAATTAAAAACACAGTAATATAGTGAAAAATATTACAATTTAAATGAACTGTTTTCCATTTGAATATATTTTAAAATGTAATTTACTCCTTTGATGGCAAAGCTGAATTTTCAGCAGAATTTTCAACTCCAGTCTTTAGTGTCACATGATCCTTCAGAAATCAATCTAATATACTGATTTGGTGCTCAAGAATCATTTCTTATAATTATCTGTTGAAACAGCTGTGCCGCTTAATACCTTTGTGGAAACCGTGATCATTTTATAAGGACCCTTTGATGAATATAAAGTCCAAAACAACATTTATTTGAAATATAAATCTCTTGTAACTTTATATAAACCTTTACTGACACTTTTAATCCACTGAATGCATCCTTGCTAAAAGGAAGTATCAATTTAATTACCAAAAAACCCTTCCTGAGCCCAAACTCAATATATCTCAATACATCACCATTGGATCATGACTGATTTGCTTAAATTGTTGTCCAGTACCATGTCACATAAAAGCAGCTCTGACAGCAGCTCAACGTGGGTTTATGCAATAAATGATGGCCCTAGACAAACTGTAAGAAATAAACGAACAGATAAATAAATATTTATGGAAACACCTGAGGTATTGATGCAAAATTCTAAGGGAAAAAAACTGACATAAATATGTGGTTTAGAACTGCAAAGTTGTGAGTATGCAAAAAAAGGGGTTTACACTGCTTTGGATACTAACTTGCCCTCAGAGCTATAACTGTTCATGCTGCCATCAGTGGACTCTCGGCTGGCTTGGCGAGCCATGACGTTGCGGGGATACTCCACTGCCATTCCCGTCTCCTGACTGCGCTGGATCTGACTGGATCCCTTTGCTTTCTTGTTGGCTGCTTCTGTGGATGGAAAAAAACAACAGTATTACCATTCCCAGGGCTTTCATAACGAATCTGCAAGACCTACAAAACAGAAGCTTAAACTAAAAATATTAGTTCTGTCAAAAGGTTAAAATAATGAATCATCATAATTAAGATAATTGTGTTATTTTGTCTTGGGGATTTTAATGATTTCTAGATCAGTACAATGACACTATAAATAGATAAAGTAGGATTCTATTGAAATATTACAGGTCTAATACAAAAAATAAATAAATAAAAGGACATATTTGCTTTGATTTTTGCAAGTTTTATATTCACGGGTGTGTGTGTGTGCCTGGGTGTTTAAATGTGTGTGCTATTCTTACAGCTGTCACTCAGGAGAAAATATTGCGATCTAAGATGAAGTTCTTCGCCCCTGATGAGTGTAACATCTCCTGCTGGACGTCATGGGGCACCATCCGTACTATTTATGGCCTTTTGATGGATTACAGATCCTTTGAAAATGTCAACCATGGAGGTGGCTCACAGAGGCACTGTCATGCCAGTTGTTTTGAGTAAAAATGTAGCAGAGAGATTTATCTTTTCACTCATCGTGCTCTCTTTCATCAGACCACCATCAGTGGCTTATTCTGACAAAACTTACAGAAAAAAAATGCCCAGGGATTCTCATTAAAAGACCTGCATGGCTCTGATATTATTTGAGGAAACAGAAAAATGCTGTCAGGGCACTAATCTACGGAATACAATACATTAAGATCATCTGTATGTTGAGGTTCACTGTTAAGATGGTATCGACAAAACAGCGTTGACTATTAAAAAATGTTTAATGGATAATGTTTTAAAACAGTAAGTAATCCTGGTAACATTTTATAAAAAGGTTCAATTTGTTAACATCAATTAATGCATTAGGTATAATGCACTACCTACAACCAACTATCAATAACAATATTTTTTACAGCATTTATTAATCTAGGTTCATGATAATTCATTCACTACGATTCACCATTTTCAGGGTAAGATTTATGTTTTTAAACAGTATTCAAATAAATCCTGAAAAAGAATCTATTCATCAAAGAATCTTGAAAAAATGTCCACAAAAATAATAATGTAATTTTTTTTATTAAAAATAATTTTTAATCCATTAAGAATATTAAGCAGCACAACCATTTTTAATATTGATAATAAGAAAATTCAGCTTTGCCATGAAAGGAATCAACTCTATTTTTAAATATTACTGTTTATACTGTATTTTAATCAAATAAATGTAGCCTTGGAGAGTGTAAAAAAAATCTGACCAACATTAAACTTTTGAATGGTAGAGTACATATACTGTTAATTCCTGTTTATGCATTACATTAACTATGTTAATTTATACAATTAAAAAATGTATTAGTATACACATAAATTACCATGAACTAAAATTAGTAAATGCTTTAAAAGAATTGTTTGTTGTTTTTTCATAATACCTAATGTATTAAATCATGTATACAGATTTAGAAAGTGTTCCGGTAATCATATTTTTAGTTTTGGCTATGGTTGTGAATGGATGAGACTGGTGCAGTGGGCAGGGTGTGGAACAGCTGTTATAGAGCAGCGGAGCTTTTTAAAATGCTGATTTATCGCAGTTTTGCTACTCTTTCTGATTTATCATCTGATGGGCCTTTTAAGATATTATCCAAGCGCTTGGCAGACAGTGGTGCCAAAAAAACTTCTTTTGCCATCCTTTTTGAATTTGTTTCTTTTTTCAGTAGTCCATTTATTAAACTATAAACAGACAGTGCTTAAAATATGAGATTTTAGAGGATATCAGATCCAACTTCAAAGGCATTTATCTACATTACATCTGATAGGAATTCAGGGTTGATCTGCACCTGACACAATGAAAGTCTGCCAATGCTAACATGCTGCCATTCATATTTCCAGCCTGAGGTTTCAGCTCCCACACTTTAACAGAGACTGAAGACACATGCTACTTTAAGAGGTGAAACAGGGTAGAGAGAGACCTGATACACAGATCCATCAGACAAAGATGACACCGGAAAAAGAGGAGACACTGATAAGAGATAGCAATCTAAGTAAAGCAGGAAGACTGAAAAAAAAAGACGTCCAACGGTCTTGGCAAATGGTCTGAACTGATGGAAAGGATGGTTTTAAAGAAATTGCTCCTTAAAATTTGTCAGTCTCCATTTTGGAGACAATTCCCTACCGCTTTTGGCCCTGATGACACTAATGTCATTCAACTGAATATCTTTTCATTGTTACTCAAGATATAAAGCATTTCTGGCCATAATAACTGCTGATTTTAGCTTCTTCACCAGTAGAGGGCACCTCAGGCTATATTAACTGAGCCCATGAAACTTATCTGTGTCCTGTATCGCTTCTCTGCTTTTTAAAAGAGTATAAAAGTTATATTTAAAACTTAATTCTTGTAAGGTGTACACCACCACTGTCCACATGTGACTTTCAAAGGCCCTATATGGTATGTGAAGCAGCGAGCAGCATGTCTTGGATTTTAAAGGGGTCCTATTATGCTCTTTTACAAAGTCTTGATTTTGTTTTGGGGGTGTACTAGAGCAGGCTCTCATACTAGGTTATTATTTTTCACATATTTTACATTATTACAACACCTCTCTCCCCAGTCTGGCATGAACGGCTCGAATAGTTCATGTATCAAATGAAGGCCCACTTCTGAAATACGAAATGTGCTGTGATTGGTTAGCTGGGCCAGTGTGTGCTGTGATTGGCACCACTCGGCGCCTGGTCGGGAAATGTCACGCCCCTTACCGTAGCCGCCTGTGAGCTTCAGTGTAAATATTGTATCAAAATCATATCAATTTTAGCGTGATTTAAACCTGGATTATTGTAACCACTCCAATTCGTCTGCCTTGGGAAAGCTAGTGTCTCCGACATAGTGATAACACGCGTTGCCTTCTCTAGTGCAGCTCAACCAGGTCTCATCCCATTCGTCGATATTTGTGATATCACAAATCCCGGAAAATATGCGTTGTAGTCCAAACGAGTCGTTCGTTGTAGTTTTTGAAAAGTGATTTCTGTTAAGTAAAATATCTCCTTTTGAAGTGGACTTTGAGCTTTGTAACTTTGCAGATATTTTTATGCTTAAATATCAACATTACAGAGTAACTAAAGTTGAAAAAGTGAAAAAGCATAATAGGACCCCTTTAATATTTATGTTATTAAGTACAATACCTGATCTATACCACTGTCCAAGCTATATTCCATTGTTGCATAGAAATCTGAGCTTTTAACTGTAAAAAAAAAACCACTCAAATTCGTCTGCCTTGGGAAAGCTAGTGTCTCCGACATAGTGATAACACGCGTTGCCTTCTCTAGTGCAGCTCAACCAGGTCTCATCCCATTCGTCGATATTTGTGATATCACAAATCCCGGAAAATATGCGTTGTAGTCCAAACGAGTCGTTCGTTGTAGTTTTTGAAAAGTGATTTCTGTTAAGTAAAATATCTCCTTTTGAAGTGGACTTTGAGCTTTGTAACTTTGCAGATATTTTTATGCTTAAATATCAACATTACAGAGTAACTAAAGTTGAAAAAGTGAAAAAGCATAATAGGACCCCTTTAATATTTGTTATTAAGTACAATACCTGATCTATACCACTGTCCAAGCTATATTCCATTGTTGCATAGAAATCTGAGCTTTTAACTGTAAAAAAAATAAATAAATAAAAAAAAACACACACACACACACACACAAAGGAAGTGACAAGGTGCAAGTATACGATTGGCTGGAAGTGTCTGACCTGTCTGACTGAGCTGAGAGGTGCTCCTGCTGCGGCGAGAGGGAATGCCAACGATGGCGACTACACGTGCGCTAAGGCTGGATCTGCGCTTTTTCCCTCCTACTCCCAGTGTTCCCAGAGCGGTGTCTGACTGACTGCCGTCCGTACGCTCCAGAGTGTAGATTTCCCCACTAACACTTGTACTCTTCAGCATGGTGCGGCTGGATGGATGAATATGACGGCTGGTGTTGGGAGAAAACATAGCAAAGACTCTCAGTAACCCAAATGACAAATGGAAAATGACTATTCTGATGTTAATACGACCTTCTGCACTTGATTATTGTGTGTGCTCTTTCTGCTTTTTTCCCCACTTCCCTCAAAATGAGTTTACCGAAATTCATAAAAATCTAAGAATGACGCTATCATGGAAAAGACCGAGACTGAGAATCATTTAAAGGGATAATGGGAAACAGATTTTTTTCTTTGCTATTTTGATATAAAAGAGGATACTCTGATGAATAGACAATTCAAAATAACAGAATTTATTTGAAATAATAAAGACATTTCATATATTATAAAAAAAGGTCAAATTTTCATTCAATTTAATCCATTCTTGACCCCATAATAATCTGACCCTAAACTTATTAACAGAAGCTTATATATACTCCACGTTCACAATGCAAATATATGTAAATTAACCACTGTTACGTTGACATTAACTATTGACCACCATGTTTATAAATAAACAGGTGGAGGTACTATACAGATAAATCTGTGATTTTATAACTCTATAGATTACATCAATTGTTATTGACGCTTATTACCACCAATATGCTCTCTAACATTCCCAGCAGAATTCAAGAAATGTTTCAACAGATTTTTATTTTACCAATGTACAATAAAGTCCCAACAAAGAGAAAACAAACAACATGAATGCATGACATTTCATACATGACATCACAAACAGAGTGTCAAAATACTACAAAAATTCACAGTTAATGCAACAGTCCAGTGTGACGCTACACCATGCATCTCACCTAAAGTGACCCCTGGGTCGTTCTGATTGAATGGACATGTAGCTGGTGCTACTGATCCGCGAGGCACTGCTGGCGCGAGAGATGGCTGACACGTCACTGACATCACTGTCTGAGGACTTGTGGGACACATTGTCACAGCTCCTTCGCTGCTCCTTATAAATCTGGTAGAATGAAATACACAAAAAATGAAAGCACACATAAGTTCTGAGCATTCTAGATTTTTAAAAACAGTTGGGATGGGACTATACGCTACCGCTCAAAAGGTTTGGGGTCAGTACGATTTTATAGGTTACTTTTTAGCAATACTCTTATTCAGCAAGGATCCATTAAATTGATCAAGAGAAGTGACAGTAAATACATTTGTTATAAAATATTTATATTTAAAATAAACGCTGTTCTTCTGAACTTTATATTCATCAAAGAATCCTAAAAAAGTCTATCACCGTTTCCACAAAAATATTAAACAGCACAGTTTCTTGAGCACCAAATCAGCATATTAGAATGATTTCTGAAGGATCATATGACACTGAAGACTGGAGTAATGATGCTGAAAATTCAGCTTTGCCATCACAGTAATAGATTACAGCTTAAAATATATTACAATTAGAAAACAATTATTTGAAATTGTAATATTTCACAATAACATTACAGTTTTTACTGTATTTTTGATCAAATGAATGCAGCCTTGTTGAGCTTACGACACTTCTCTCACAAAAAAATAAATAAAAATCTATTTTAATCTATCTATTGTGTTGTAAAACGGCACTTACCTCTCGTTTATTCTTGAGCGTACTCTCCGGATCCTGGCTGGTACTGGATGGAGCTGGTGTTCGGAAGGTATGTACTTTCATTTGCCGTGTTCGCTCCTCTGAAGCAAGAGCTAATACATACATGATACACAACAAAATGATCATTTCATATTTTGCAGATTTACTCAAAGAACATTTGGAAAACTAACCAGTACAAGTCAGCGGACAACGACAGTACCTTGCTCTACACTGCTGCTTTTGGCGGGGACTTGGGGAAGCTGTCTGACCTTGCGTGTCGAAGAAGGGGTGGCTGTTGATGAGGAGAATGCAGGGCTGGTGTGCGGCTGCACCCTGATGGAGGAGACAAAATGAGAGAGAGAGAAAGAAACAAAAAGAGCGATGGAAACTTTAGCTTATGATTTTATTTAGTACAAAGGTGGTCAATATCATCAACCAGTGTGGACCAAAATGCAACAAGAAGTAGTCCACATTTTCACTAAAAGGCCACCAAATCTTGATCGGATCCATGTCTGCATGATCGGGGCACATTATTACTCACATCAGATTATGTATTATTGCTAAGAGTAATTAGGAAAGCAAAACAAGAACAAGAGAGGAGGGTGTGAAACCGATGGAAAAAACAGTGGTAAACTGTGAAAGAGCAGCAAACACAGAAAGCTGTGGGTAGATAATGAGGACAGGTCGATTTTCAGTAAGAAAAGCGGCAACCACACAAAACATTTGAGAGAAAAGAGCAAAATCAGCAGAGATTATAGCAATGACAAGGCTTTTTGTGTAGGATAGGTTAGGCACAGCAAGGCTTCTCAGTCCAGATCAGGGTCAGCACCTTTCCATTTGGGGTGAGCCTGGGGTTGACACCCTCATGGGTCACCTTACCCAATGGAGGCAGCGATACCCTCTTCCTGCATGAGGCCTTTAGAATGGAGGTTGGCTGAATGCTGCAGGCCAGTGCGAATAGCAATACAAGACAGATTATAGGAAAAATAAAATCAATGTGACAAATGATAGAAAAAAAATGGAGAAAAATCAGCAAATTATTTGCAAAAACAGATGGAGAAATAAAGTGTGAATGTGTGAAGAAACAAATATGTTGTGGATGAAGCCAGTGCAGCATTTCCCAGTAAAAGTTCAATAACCCATATAAAAATATATACACAATGTAGAATACAGTATAATATACTAAAATATACAGTATATAAGTCCAAATTTAAGATTTGCCATAACTACTTATGATGGGTGATTTGAGAAAATGTACTGGCCATTAAATTTTCTTCCCAGCCGCTAATTATTTGTAATAATACTAATAATAATATATATATATATATATATATATATATATATATATATATATATATATATATATATATATAACA